ATGAGTGGGGAAGAGAGGCAGAGGGAGACAGAGTTTTAAGCAGGCTCCATATTCAGCATGGAGCCCTATGTGGGGCTCGATCCCTCGACCCTGGGATCATGACCTGAGCCAAAATCAAGAGTCAGATGCTAGCTGACTGAGTCAGGCACCCCTGTGTTGTTCATTTTTAATAAAAAATAGAAAGTAGATACCTAGTGGTTTAAGCCAAGTGAAGGAAACCAGACACCAAAGCATATATACTGTATGATAGCATTTGTATGAAATCAGTGGCAGAAAAGAATCATAACAGTGGTTGCTTCTACATGTAGGGTGGGAGCAGGAATTAAAGGATTAAGATAGGGCATTCTATAGGGTGATGTTCTATATTTAGTAGAGTTTGAGATACATAGGTTATGCATTTGCCACAATTCAGCAAACACACACTTATGATTTGCGTATTTCATTATATGTAAATTTCATCTCAAATGGAAGAATAGATAAATAGATACTGACTCTAATAAGTGAAAGCTAAAGTATTTAGGGAAAGTACTAATCTTTGTAAGTTACTCTATTTTCCTTTTCACTGGACTTTAAACAATGCGATGTGAAACTGCATGTGTTTCATGTAGTTATTATTACATAAATTTACTGGAAGATAAAAAAAGGAAGGAAAAAAGTTCTGCCACTTATTAATACAGGGGTCATGGTTAAGTAGTTTTACCAATATATGCCTCAGTCTCCCCTTGTGTAAAAATGATAATAATTATTTGCTTCACAGTGTTCTGAGGGATCACTGAGATGATGTTCATAAAGCACCATCACAGTGCTTGGAACACAGTATATATTTGATAAATGGTGGTTAGTAAAAAAGGGAATAAAGAATACAACACCTGTAACAGTAAAAACAAAGTCTTCAAGATCTCACACTAGTTAGTAGTAAAGCTAGTTAATCTAATTCCAGAGTCTGTGCTTTTCACTTCTTTGAGGAGTGGTATATACTCATCTGTGTGGTTTCCTTCACTTTGCTTTAAAGTGAAGCTTTAGCTATCTGCTCCCTATTTTTATTAAGAATAAACAAAACAAAACAAAAATAAACAAAACTAAACAAAACATTAACCAATTTTGGTTTAATTTGTTCAGTGAAAAATATCTTGAACAATAAAAGCAAAAAAAAGGTGCAAACCTGTAATTCATTAATATCTGTCCTTTACATTATATATTATACAATATATATTTTTTAAAAATAGCGGCTTAACATTTTATCTGAGCGATATGTACTACATTTTTATAAGACTGTGGAATAAATTGTTACAAAGACCAGAATAACACTGATATTATATTTGCTTAAACAGATTTTTTTGGGGGGGGGTTGTTTGTTTGCATTTTTACCTGAACAGATTATGCAATTCAAGTGTCAAGAAATTCACTCAGCAGTATTTTCAATATTGGTGGGGGAAAGAAAATTCCTAGCCAGTATACAAATCAACTATGTATTTTTTTTTCAGCTGAAAAATGCTTCCACTAATAATTTGTAAACATTTCGGGGAAAATATTAGCAGTACTGGAGACTTCTCTATAGGGGTCCTTTTAGCCACTAAAATATGACGGATGATTTCCAATGTCCCTTGTCATTTCTGTGAAATTGTACTTTGGTTTACTCAATAGAGCTGAGCTTCTCAATAAGGCTGGGCTCAACACCTCAAATCCTTTAAACTACCTTTTAAAGCCACAAAGCCTCCAATTATCTACCGATCTTGGTTTTTCCCTTAGTAAATGCAGAGCCATAATGGTGCACACCATAAGTCTGCTGGAGAAAATGGATAGGCCATTCTCTATGCTGGTATAATAAAGACTTCTATCACAAAGAATAAACAACTAAATGAGCAGCAATAAACTTAATTTGCACATTAGATATGCTTTTCCAAGTTCCGACATTTCAGTTGAAAATAATGCTAAAGCAATGAGGCCTATAATTGAACATCCAAAACTTCTCCAGTGGGGAAACAAAAACAAATGTTGTCTGCAAACAAGATCATTTTTATAGCCTGCTGTTACTCTGCTTTTTAATAATTTTTCAAATGCCAGATCAAATAATTTCCTGTTTTATGTGATTTTCATATACCTCTTACTGTATGTACATACTGTCATTTTAATCCAACTCCTCCAAAATGAAAACACTTAAACTCTCTCTCTTTTTGATTTCCTGTTTGTGCCTATGGAACATGTCCTCAGATTACATTAGGCAACTTCTGAGGCTCTGGCAAGGCTGCTGCTAATTACACTCCCAATGTTTGAATGGAAAATTGCTTTATCCTGCTGCATGAGTGAAATAGAAATCTCTGACATACAGTGCAGATAACTTCAGAATCCTCTTAACACAGATAAGCCATATCAGCTAAAAACTAAGCTGGAAAATATCTTACTCTTGTAACTATTATCTTTTTACATGTTATCTAACAACAACATTTCTTGCATGAGTGAGGCTGATAAGTAAATTCAAAGGGAGATGATTGTTTTATCAGCTTTACTGAAATTTCTCATTTGCTCCTTACCACCCTAGTACGAGTAAGGTCACTATATGCTGATTTTGGTGCGAGCAACAAAATTATATTTGACTCTGTAATGACAATCAGCTGAACATTATAGACTAGAAAATACAAACACACACACACACAGTCTCAAATCATCTTAAACAACCAGATGACTACACTCAATAGTCAAGAAAATGGTTGAATCAATGCATATTATTATCGTTCTTTCTCAGATTAAAGCTTCAAATTTATAAGTTGTAAAATAATAATTCTTTGTTAGTAATAACTTGATCATTCCTACTTGAAAGGGAATGAGAGAGGATATGCTAATAACAGACTTATCTTAGACCTGTATTTACATGGCAATTCCATAGTTTAATGAAAATTATATATATAATACAGATCAATAAAAAAATCTAAATTTCTAAAGATGCTTTTATTTTTATTGTATGCATTTTGTATTTATGTAGTTATTTTTAAATGTATGTATGGGTGTTATGTCTTTGTGTGTATGTGTGTATGTGTATGTCTTTCTTGTATGTGATTCTTGTCAATGGCAAAGAAGCAAATGGATCCCTCTTAAAATGGAATGTGAGTATTTCATGAAAGTTAAAAATATCAAACACAATTTCCTTCTCATTATTAGATATAAACAAATGAAAATTACTTGATATTTATGCATATTGATATATGCCTTTTTTGCATATGTAAATGATTCTCTTCCTTGTGCTGAAAATACCAGAACAGTGAGTTCTCTCCATGAAGTCTGTAGGATTTTCACAGAGCTTCACATTTGTTCCCCCTTGCAGAACAAGGCGTTCTCTATGTATTAGAAATATATGACTACAAACCGTAAAATAAGGAAGGTGAAAACACTCAGAAGTTCATTATTTCCCTTTGATGCTCTTTATTGCAAAGCATCCTAAGCTTAACCCCTAAAAATGAGAGAACTTTTGTATTAAAAAATTGTTTTTAATGTTTATTATTGAGAGACAGAACATGAGCATGGGAAGGGCAGAGGGATGGGGAGACCCAGAATCTGAAACAGGCTTCAGGCTCTGAGCTGTCAGCACAGAGTCCAATGTGGGGCTCAAACCCACAGACCATAATACCATGACTTGAGCTGAAATCAGACGCTTAACCGACTGAGCCACCCAGGCACCCCAGCCTGCACCTTCTTAACTTAAACAGGGTAATAAATCTCCTTTTTTCCCTTAATGAAGACATATCATTTCTTTAAACATAAAGTATTCATACTTTTAAGTAAAGTAGTATTACAAAATATTTGCTGGAGAGATATCTTATCATTAGATATAGCTATAGCATATTCCTTGAAACGTTAAGTCCATCTCTGTCTTAAAAACCTGGTGACAATACATTCTCAAGGAAGTAAAGTTTTTCAAAATGAGCCATACTGGTTAGATTTTGACATGAGTTACATCAATTACATTTCCCTTGAGTATTTCAGACAATTGTCACCAAGCATAATGTAATATGCTTAAGACAATGTTGGCAGAAGTATCTTCCAAGAGTAAAGGTAGGTATTTTTTTTTCCTTGAGACATTTTAAGGGATAGTTGAAGTGTAGTAGCTAACTACTTTTTATTTAATATATTTATTTTTAATAGAAACGATGATAAAGCACCGATTGCTGAATTTAATTATTTGGGCTTAATTAGCTGCTCAAACTACTTTATCAAGACAGTCATTTTAATCATCCAGGAGGCAAGGAAATGATAAAACTGACATAGCTTCCAGTAAACATACTAGTTTTATGAGCTGAGATTCAACAAAGTAAAGTGGCAAAGATGGGAATAGATACTTGAATACTAATTATGTCCCTTGGTGATATATGGAGGTACATTTGATTGACAGTAGCATGAAAGTCTGAAGAATAGAGTATGCAGTTTTATCATCACAATTTATGTGAGCTTATATGTTAACTGTGATGGGAATATACTAATGACTTATATGGACATAGATATTTTCGTTTTTTTTCTCTTTGAAACAAACTACTTATATAGTGTATGCAAGAGAGTCTGCATTTCACTAGCTACACACCTAGAGTTATATAAATAAATGAACTGGTTATGTACTTGGCAACCTTATATCCAGGTAAAAATTTCATATAAAATGAGAACTTCTGAAGGAAATTGAACTAAGAAAGATATTATCAACTGACTTTATCGAAATGTCAATAGATTCTCACACTAAGGCATTTGTGAAAATTTAAATATTTTAGGTGCAGGTGTTAATTCTGTTAAATTACTCGCCGACAGCATTTCAACTGCCAAAGTATTCACGTCTACCATGTATCCCATTCGCAAAGTAAACATACTATTAATGAATATGAGAACGCAACTCTTAAATAAATTGTGAAATCAAATATTTCACATACACGATATGATACAGGTTTAACACTATGATAGAGATTGTGATATGCATACATATCTCCAATGTTCATCAAGTACAAATGAAGATAATAAAATACCTTTTACAAGTAGGCTGCCAGTATTCTTTGCGACGCCAAACTGATTTGTAGCAATGCAAGTATATGATCCAGCATCTGACCTGGTAACATTATATATCTTGAGGCTGCCATCCTCTAAGAGAAACACTCTAAAAAGAAAATACATAATTAACAGAAGTAAGGCACTTAAAACTAAGTCTTGAGCATTTATTTTCATTAAAAATCTTTTAATGTTTATTTATTTTTGAGAAAGACAGAGAGTGACCAGAGGAGGGGCAGACAGAAAGGGAGATACAGAATATGAAAAAGGATTCAGGCTCTGAGCTGTCAGCACACAGCCCAATGTGAGGCTCGAACTCACAACTCATGAGATCATGACCTGAGCCAAAGTCAGACATTTAACTGACTGAGCCACTCAGGTGCCGCATATTTTCATTTTAAAACATTACTAAAACCATGGTCATATTCCTTTCCTATTATTCTATTCTTGACTGTGAGCATCTTTGAATCTCCATAGTAGAATAAATGACCTTTGCTTTTAGTCTGACATAGTGTTGTTAATTATACCATCACTTGAATTATCATTGTTGGTTTTGATGCCTATTAAAAATAAAATGGATACTTGATGCTACAATGCCCATTTGCGTGGTTAATAACAAATGCACTGTGCATTTGGAAAAGTCAACTCCATGGTGAATATTGAACTTGACATTAGAGAAATGCAAGCCAATTTTCATATTGTTTACTTATGGCTTTATCAACCAGCTCTGACTCAGAACTTTCAGCCACCAAAAAACAGGGTTCTCAATGACAGAGTGTGCCAGAACTAGTAAGTTGAACGAACCATCTACACGGTTCCACAGCCAAAGTGCACAGTCTTACCTTGTATCCCATAGAAAAAGTTAAGAGCATAAAAAGAATGAAGTCTTCATGAACCAGACTGAACTAAGTGGTCCTAAAATACATGTCATCACACAGTAGCTAATGAAGGGACAGCAATTTAAGAAGTTCCAATCTTTCATAAAGTGATTCTTATTAAGTTTTCTCTGAAACTCAGATAATCACAAGCAAATATCAGACCACTGTTGTAATCAGGGAAACCCCAAGATTGGTCTCTTGACAGAATCACCATCGTGTTTTTATAAGGAGAAAAAAAAGAGAGAAATTAAAGCATGTGACCAATTTTTATGTCTTAAATTTAAGAAACTTAAAAAAATAGCTCTTAAAACATTAGTAGGTAGCCAGGGTTGTATAAAAAAAGTGATTAAAACTAATTTTTAACAACAGTAATTTTAAAAGAAAGGCAGACATGACCATTGGCAAGCATGCCATATCTACAAACAATACCAAACAGTATTTGTTTCATTGCAAACCTATCATTGTGTCTCATATGTGTATCACACAAAATGTAGCTAATATAATTAATTACCCAACTTGAAACCTAGAGAATATGAGCCAACTACAGTAGTAGTAGCCAGCTTCTGATGTTGGGTTTATTATTAGTGATGTGTTCCACACTCTGTCATCAAGTGAGTAGCAGGGGCCACATCTGGGTTTACAGTGTCCCATGACATATAATCAGATTTTTGTTTAAGTAATTATCATGGAGTACTTCCCAACAGCAGACATTTGATAACTCATTTACTTTCTGAAATGTCTAGAATTCTCGATCACAGTTTACACTAACAATGGAATCATACGATTAATGACATAGAGATAAAGCTATTCTAATATGCAGCAAATTTCTGGCCAAATAGAATTCTATGTCTGATATAATTAGAAGAGGTCAGTGTGAGAAGCATTTAAATGCATCAGTTACTTCTATAATTTAGAAAAAAACAAGGAATTTTCAGCAACACAGAAATGTTAAATTTTGCCCAATAAAGTGATATAAGCTACATATCTGCTCATATCTAAAGGCCATAATCCAAATTTCTAAGCTAGAAATGCCAATGTCTATATGTCTTATAATTTTTCACTGAGCTTTCAGAAAAGGACAATTCATGTTAAAGGTGGTTCAATATTACCAAGTCCACTGCCATTTTCTGGCTCATGGCATATGTTCAATGATGTTTGTTAAACTGAATTAAAATTGTCATCATTGAAATTGATTCTTTCTATTTAAATCTTTTCTTATTTTTTTAACGTTTATTTTTGAGAGAGAGAGAGACAGAGCATGAGTAGGGGAGGGCCATAGAGAAAGGGAGACACAAATCCTGAAGCAGGCTCCAGGCTACAAGCTGTCAGCACAGAACCTGACATAGGGCTCGAACTCACAAACCATGAGATCATGACCTGAGACAAGGTTGAATGCTTAACATATTTCTGTTGAAATCATAATCAGTCAACCAATATTTCTCAACTGCCTAGTACTGTTTGAAATACTAAGAATCCAGGGTAGGAAAAATTACTATCTTCCCAAGATTAAATATCTAATAAGTACTAGAGAATGAACTGAAAGTTCTATCTGATTATTTCTAGCACTCATCCTTTATCCAGAAGCATCCATAGTCACTTACAGTAGACTATTTCTCCATGGTTTTTGTTTCTAATTCTGCTTGTTAATTATGATGTTCAAGAAGTTCCTCTTGAGCCATCATTAGATGCCCTTAAATAGTCATATATGTTTGCTTCTCAAAATATGACCTCATTGCAGACCTACTGAATCAAACTTTGCATTTTAACAAGACATCCATGATTGGTCCATAATAAAGTTTGAGAAGCACTAATCAAATAATTATAAGTTAAACTATAGTCTGTAAGGATTATCTTTATTTCTAAGTGAGAATCCATACTTTTTTTATAACAGCAATATACAAAAAAAATTTTTTAAATGTTAAATCTAAATATTTTATAAAAGTAACAAAACTAGTAACCATACTGATTTATCACTTATTAAAGACAGATGATTAAAAAATCATTCTCAGTAGCAACCTAAGAGATAAAAAGCCAGAGGTTTAACTATAAGTAGAAATTTTATTACACAGTAAATAGTATGAGTATTTCAACTTATCATTTAATTGTTTCAATCAAAAAGAAGATAAAATGCAGTGAGAAAACTTCATCTATGATAACATAGATTGAATCAAACCACATAATCAAAGCCCAAATTTTATGCAAATAATTAAACCAAAAATAGTAAAGTGAGAATTTCCAGTTCTGTTATATAGTAAAACATGGCTTAGCAGAAATGATTAGAAGGAAGGAAGGAAGGAAAGAAGGAAGGAAGGAAGGGAGAAAGAAGGAAAGAAAGAAAGAAAGAAAGAGAGAGAGAGAGAAAGAAAGAAAGAATGAACACCCAACTAAGATTAAATTGTACTAAATAGTTGACATTTTTGGATAGGGAAGAATGCATCCATACAAATTAACCGGAACATTTTAATTCATGGTTTTGGTAATATTCATAGATAAAGATAAAGACTGACTTTTTCTATCCTCTTTTGGAATATTCTAAATGATAGGTTAAAATGGTATCTGGAGGGTTGGAAAAGACATATTAATAAAATATATTAAAATATTCTATCTTGATTTCATATAAGGATCTTTGGTGTTTAAAACAAAACACAGCTACAACTAGAGGTAAGCTTAAGTATCAAAAACATTGATAATATTCTAGAAATGAAAATAAAAATTTTTGTGAATAATTAGCAAAGAGAATATAGTTACAGAGAGGGAAGTATAAGGCAACAAACTGACTATATATAATATATATCTTTATATTTATATTAGGACTTAATATAGAAATTATTAATAGACAATAGAAGCATAAATGAAAATATGTGAGCATCATTTAATGTGGTACAGCTTCTACAAATTCATTAGCAACTTATAAGCAGAATAGAGAGCCCAGAAATAAACCCACGATTTTTATGGACAACTAATCCGTGACAACGGAAGCAAGAACATGCAATGAGGAAAAGACAGTCTCTCCAACCAATGGTGCTGGGAAAGCTGGACAGCTACATGCAGAAGAATGAAACTGGACCACTCCCTTACACGATACACAAAAATAAACTCAAAATGGACTAACGACTTACATGTGAGACCTGAAATCATGATACTCCTAGAACAAAATATAGGCAATGAATTCTCTGATATCAGCCATAGAAATATTCTTTTAGATATGTCTCCTCTGGCAGGGGAAACAAAAGCAAAGTTAGAGTATTGTCTATACTAAAATAAGAAGCTTTTACACGGCAAAGGAAACCATCAACAAAATGACAAATCGACTTACTGAATGGGAGAAGATATTTGCAAAAAATATAATCCAATAAGCACTGAATATCCAACATATAGAAAGACCTTATACAACTCAACACCAACAACAAAAAAATAGATAATCCAATTTAAAAATGAACAGAGGACAAGAATAAACTTTTTTCCAAACAAGACATATAAGTAGACAATAGAAACATGACAAGATGTGCAACATCACTAATCATCATGGAAATGCAAATCAAAACCACAATGAGATATTACCTCACACCTAATCATAATGGTTAACATCAAAAAGACAAGAAATAGCAGTGTTGGTAAGGTTGTGGCGAAAAAGAAACCCTCGCCTTGTTATTGGGGAATACAGATGGGTATGGACAGTTTGGAAAACCGTATGGAAGTTCTTCACGAAATGAAAAATATAATTACCATATGATTCCATAATTCTACTACTAAGTATCTACCCAAAGAAAATGGAAACACAAATTCAAAAAGATATATGCACACTCATGTTTATTCCAGCATACTTCTTTTCTTTTAATGTTTTTTTTTTTTTTTTTAAGAGAAAGATAGAGAGACAAGGTACGAGCAGGGGAGGGGCAGAGAGTGAGTGGGACACAAGATCTGAAACAGGCTCCAGGATCTGAGCTGTTAGCACAGAGCCCAAATGGGGCTTGAACCTGTGAACTGCGAGATGATGGCCTGAGCCGAAGTTGGACACTTAACTGACTAAGTCACCCAGGCTGGGCAGTGCCCTGCAGCATTATTCTGATAGCCAAGATAGGGCATGAATCCAAGCATTCATCCATAGAAGAATGGATAAATAATGTGTGCTATATATTACTCAATGGACTATTACTCAGCCAGAAAAAAAGACAGATTTTTCCATTTGCAACAACAGGGATGGACCTTCACAGTACAATACTAAGTAAAA